TTAGGATCTAGTAACTGATCGACATCATAAGAAGAATATTACATGGGTTTAGTTGGATGCACACGCCATTTCACAATTCACACGCCCAGTAACGCGAGACGGTACTGAAAGTGTGGCGTCGAAACTTTGAGCCATAACCATTTGAAATAGTTCAGATCAACTATAGTTGAAATAGTTCAGGAAAAGTCCATGATAAAACACTTATTGTCCATGTTCTTTATTTCCACATCGTTGTGAGTTCAAGATATACAATCGATAGGGTCTAGACCTTTAATTAGGGTGGTGGCATGATTTTTTCAAGTACAATATATCCACTAGTTAAAGTGCAAGTTGTGTAGGCCTTGGCTGTGTGATCAAAATGAGCCCAAGATGATCAAATTTGGTCAAAGCGTTCAAAAGTTACAGCATTTTAAAGATCTGAAATTCGCGATTCCTTTCGTCGAAAATTGAATAAATTATGCTAATGAGCTCATTAGCATATTTCACTTATAGATAAAAAGAATAAATATTATTCTAAGATTAGAAATATTTCAGATACCTAGAGAGAAAAAGTTGTGTGATAGGAAAAATAATGAATCATGTCCAAGAAAACATGTAAATTAGAGATACAGATGCCCAAATATGGCTAACAGAGCCAAATTTCACTCCGATTTCTGGTAAAATTTGGACAAAATTGGCATTTTTTGTTCCTACACCCATATTTCTGAATCAATTTTACAGAAAATAATGTACTTAGTTGGTTGCATACTATTTTATTTCTGTCAAACCATATTTCTTCTCTAGATAAAAGTAATAAAATGCTTGATCTGATCAAAAAATTTCCCAAAAAAAGTTATTTGAAAGGTCTCACCAGTACAAAATATCCATATTTAGCCACTTTTTTCACCTATTTCATGATCATCACCAATGTTGATAGGCCTCTATTTTTAAAAATCAGTAAATATCACATCTGCTATTCTAAATTTCCCCATAACTATTTTTTCTGTGAACATGTGTATGCTCAGACAGCCTCTTTATGCCATATTTTCTTCGAAAAAAGGCTCTGAAGTATGCTAGGAAAACATATTTTCACACAAATTCTAGGTGGAAATAAGCCCAGAGAGGCCATTTTGTAGTAAAATATGTCTAAAAATACATAATCTAGACATCTTGCACCTATTTGTAACCATGAAAAATATTATCATATCCACACAGATTCAATAAAAAGTACTATATATTTTTAATTCCTGCTATATAATGATTCAAACATAGCCAGTAGTCAAAAAGTGCCCTCCCTTGGCGGGATTTTGGGGTAGGGCGATTATTGAAAAACCAAAAATGACAATAACTTTGCCAAAAATGGATGAATTTGCATAATTTTTTTTTTAAAATGCTCAGTAAAGAAATTGTAATCTTTCTCTTTCTTTCAATTTAATCAATGTGGACTTATTATTCATCAAATAATTATTTTCAATCTTCAGAGGACCCATTTTTAAGGATTTGGGGGTAGGGCAATCACTGAAAACCACAAATAACAATAAGTTCACCAAATATGAAGACATTACTGTATTAATTAGTCACTGTATTAATACATGTAATATGTTGGATTTTCAGTTAATTACATTTTTAAAATGTGTCCATTAATTTACATTTTTAAAATAAAAACCGTGTTCAATCGACAGTCATGTATGTATTTCTCCATTGCAGCTTCCTAGTCGGAGTAGTCCTATTCACCTTCAATAGTTGTTCCACTGTACATTTTGTCAGCTATTGTCCAATGTTAGGGACTGAAATCATAAAAAAAGTAGTTTAATTACTACTATAGTATTTCAAATTCTTAAAGAATTTCAGAAGATATCTTTAAAACCTTTTTTGATTGACACTGTATTTAAGCATAGAAATTGTTTACTTTACTACCACTGTAGTGAAATTACTCTCATTAGACATTACTCTCTAGATATTCTCATACATCATAAATGATAAATGTTCACTTTTATTGCGAAGAAGAAAATTGATGTACATCATTATATTGATTGGAATTATTACTCAATAATAATCCTATTCAATCACTAATCATATGTACATATTGATCAAATGTTATAACAGAAACAACAAAGAAATAAAAACAATAACCAACACAATTACGAGAGCGAAGAAACTGTTAACAGACAGGCATATCATGAAAATGTACATAATATCTTTGTTATGGTCCGCGGCATTTTAGAAAGTCAATCATTTATACATTACAATACATTTTTAGTCAATTCCAATCTGTTTTTTAATCTAAACCATAAATGTACAAATGCAATAAAACCAAGGCCTTTGAGAAATTTGGCCAAATTCAACATGGACTAACCAAATTGATCAAATATGTTGTCTCTTGGAAGGGCACTATGATTAGCTGGCATAACTGGGGAAGAAGGGGTGCATGTACCTACTAGTAATTCATTTCATGCTACTAGAAAATTTACAAACCTTTATGTAGTTTGATGTTATTGTAGATCTTGTTTACTTGTATAATGCTTATGTCTCACAGTCTGATTGTCTGTATTTCTATAAAGTAAGAGGGGAAAATGTATTCTACGCATGTATTTTTTATGGATTACTTCTTACACTGTGACAAGGCAGGCTATTATAAGACAAATAATCTGGGTACAATCCGAAATAATTGCATGGGCGTAGCGCTATTTTAATGAGTAGTACGCAAACTCGGAAACATAAGTTCAGGGAGGTCCGGGGGTTCTCCCCCAGGAATATGTGGGAACTTGGTTGTATTTTGGAGCATATTTGCAATCGTCTGGTATGCTTGTGCGTACCAGGTGCTACGCCAATGAATTGGTGAGATTCTTTTGTTTTATAAGAGCTTGGTGCAAGACTACATGTAATACAGTGTGAGTGTACAATGTATGTATAGACTCTAGAGTAGATCTACATGTACATGTAGGCTATGTTTGAGAAACAATAGATTCTAAAAGCTGAGTGATGTAAATGAAATGTGATTAGAATGTGATGTCAATTTTCTACAGAAGTCGATCATGAACTGTGAGTACATGCTGCTGCAGGCATGACTTCAAAATCACGCAAAAGCAAGTGACATTTCACCTTTTCCTGGGCCTCAGATACAACTTGTAAGCCAATTTTCAAATTGAATTCCAAAATATAACTTGTGAAATTGAACCTCATTTATCTGTTTATGAACTTTGTTTATGGCATTAGCGTTGCAAATTGTCTAATACTTTCATCTAGAACATTTCATGATTATTATAAACCTAAATCTTATTCATACTTTATTAAAATACTTACAATTGTAATGTATCCAAAAAACATCGGAGGAATAATTTTGCTTTAGTTATGATTCAAAATGGCTTTTGGGAAACCCCTCTAGCTGATCACGTCACGTGATTGGATTCTCCGCATTCCAGTATTCTAATTGGTTAGTTCATGGTGTGACGTCAACCAGGTCATTTGAGGTCAGATTATACATAAAAAATGGCTTGAACATAAAAATGTGTGCTGTGTTTAGGTTCCATTCCGCACCACCAAATAGGTAGGACTCAATAAACCACTGCAATATTTGATTAGAAGACATTATTGGCTACATCAGAGTCTTTCCGTTTTTTAAAAGGACAAAACATAAGTCATGTTCCGAGGTGTGCAAACTTTTCCTTTGAATGTTTTCTTAGAAAATCATATTTTCGATCAAGAACCAGAAAAAAACGGAAAGACCATCGTAAAGAAGAGTATATTCCGATTCAGAAAAGTATTGGTTCAAAAATTGTTGATCAGGATTAAGCGTGCGGAATTAGCATAAAAAAGGGTTGCAAAATTAACGTTTTTCGCGGATGTTGTTATTTTTCAGGACAAGTACGTCACAAATTTATCAAGTTTAGTTGACTGCTCACTTTCAATATGTTATTTCTCGGTCAATTCTTTTTAGAAAATTACAAAAATAAATATTCCGAGAGACAAAAAAATGCTTGTTTCATTGATATTACTTTTATTCCAAACAACACAATATTGAGGAAGTTATGGTGTGTTAAAAATGGCCCAAATGGGAAAAATACGTCATGTCAGGGCTTTCCGCGCCTATTGTCACCACCCTACTTTAATGTATGCATTTATAACAAACAATACTGTCCATTTTAAAATGACAGACTAGACATTATTATCAACTTGATAAAAACATGTACGAAAGTCAAAATTCAGGGCACCAGGCTAATTCATGAACATTTATCTATTACCAAAAGGTCTCTTTAGATATACGTGGCTATGTGTGTGCCTGGAAATGACCTACGCACACTTATAGTGCGAGGGAGTCTCGGGTTAGTGGGAAGTCGGGATCTCCGAAGCCTGATATTTTTTCCCCGGATCTCGGCCGCGGCTGTTTGAATTAATGAACAGACCATTGTCATCATTACGGAAGTCATGGTGTTGTATTCAATATCCATTTAATTTGCTCATACAGCGTGATTCCCCAAAACACATTCTTTTCTTATGATCAATGGTTTATCATTTTACGTAGGATGGTGAACGCCATCAAGTTTTGTTCAATCAATTATTGTTGTCAAAGGGAATTTGGCACACCTGTAATAACGTGGTCACATACAATACCATCTATTAATTTTCGAGCAGTTATTACAAAGTACCTATTTGAATGAATCATAAATCCTTCATTATGTTTTAAGATTATGTTATTAATTATATGGTTTCCATATCATATTGTTAACCATTTCTCAAAATCACAGCCATATCATTTTAAACCATATACACAGTTAGTACGTATTGCAATACTATCTTTAAGAATAGCATCAAGTTAGTGCACGAGCGTTGTGTGCAAAATGTATGTTGATTGTGTACCTCCCTCTGGTCGCGTGCCACAACTTTCTGGCCAATCAGTCCGACTATGACAAAGCCAACATAATAAGATATGCGTTCTTGTCTCTGATTGGTTTACAGTGTTGGAATCCGCTAAGAAAACCTGGACCAGATATGGTATTTAAACATTTCCCATATTGTCAAAGCTCAGTCAATAAATTCAAGAGAACTTTTATGAAACTCATTACATATACAATTCAGGAAAATCTCAATAATGGAGAAAGCGTTAAATCATATGGAAAATATTAGACCGACTAATGAAAGAAAGGTACGTATACAATACTCATGTTCCTTTTAAATTCTAAGAATCTACTTAATTTAATTTAAAAGTTAATATTACTTAGCAAAAAATCAATAATGCAAAAGTAGGAAAATTAGAATTACCAATTAGTGTGAATAAAATAGGATATATAGGTAATGTCCCATATCATATAAATACAATTTTCATTTTTTAGGCAAACAAACCACTGATGGAGAAGAGAAGACGTGCTCGGATAAATAACTGTCTCGCTGAGCTCAAGTCCATCGTCCTTGAAGCTTTGAAAAAAGATGTAAGTCAAGTTACAGTGATAACAGCATAGCGCAAATTAAAAAATTGAATTGTAATTTATTTACTTATTTATATAACAATAACAACTTACTAGACTAGTGTACATACAAAGTATATATATATATCCAGCTTATTTAAAGTTTTATGTTTTGCTGTAATATATAATTATAAGAAAATCTCAATAAATGACCTAAAGTTGGACAGTATATTGAAATTGTGAATTGATCGATCTCATCATTGAATGTCTTTTTCAGCCTGCCCGGTATTCTAAACTTGAGAAGGCTGATATTCTGGAGATGACCGTCCAGTATTTACAGACCGTACACAAGCCACCTGTTGACTCTGCTGCGCCTTCACAAGCGCCATCTAGGCACAGTCCTGACATGTTTGAGAACTATTCAATGGGATACAACTCTTGCGTTCGCGAAACCATACGATATATGGACACTATAGATGATGGTATCGATGTAGAAATGAAGGACAGAATCAGTGGACATTTATCTAAGCGCACACAAAACGTTGATTGTCGTTCAGTGTCCCCCTCCGTACAGAAACCTATATCTATTGACATTCCTAGCTCTCCCATGCGTGGATCACTGATCACGGAAAGAACAAACAGTGAACAGATGAACGCAATGGCGCAACACAACACTGCGCACGCACATGAAGTAAGTCCCGTCACAACAATGGCTTTGAAATTAAACGACGTAACGATAATGCCATCTCACTCTGGGTCGACTTCTGCAGTACCAATCAGTTTTTCTCAGAATGGACCGACATCATCTGTCTCTCCCTTGACTCTCACAACGGGGCAAATGGCTTATTTGATTGTTGGCACCACAAATATAGTTCCTGGAGCACAAATAACACCGACCAATACAATGGTTGTAACACCTGTGACATCACAACCACATCACGCCTTTAATCTGCAACATGGAAGAACTAGTCAATCAAAAAACAATTCGACAACAACGCCATCTATTAACATGAACAATATGCCAGTATTCCTAGACTCAAACGAAAATCATACGGCTTTCAAAAATAAGAATATCTGTAACTATGGCGATGATAAAGATGTCTGGAGGCCATGGTGATTATTTTTATTAGGCCAAAATAATTTTGAAAAAAGGTTTTCCCTGTGTGGTAGATACTGCTGAAACTGTTGAAACATAAATCAGGTCAACAATACATGTGTACTATCTGCTGATGAAGTCACAAACTGCTGTAATGTAAAAATATAATAACATATATAATTTTTCGAATAGAATATTTTTTCAAATAAAATAGCTCTTAAACAAAGGTTCTATTTATTTCATTGTTAAATGCATATTTAATGTCGAGTATTATGTCTGCTTGCCACTTACAGGTTAATTATCTCGATAGCGAATTAGCTTTGGAAAATCCCTGTCCAAATGAAAAAAAGGTTTGGCCATGGTAATTTTCAGATGAAAACAGGCATATACGAGGGGGTATCATTAATTAGTGAGACAAGTACCATAACTTTTTCAAATTTGCTTCAATTGCATTGATATTTTCACCAAATAACATCTTGGTAGTATGCTACATCCTCATGTAGTTTGATTAGTTAACTCTATCATATAGTGGTTTAAGAGATTTCTTTGTGACGTCATGACCAGTGACCCGGAGCAGTTATAATATAAAAAAACTTCAAGATTTTACGTCAAATTTTCCAATTTCTCTATACTTCATGACTTTATGGAATATGTACTAGTAAGTATAGTGCCATCTAAGCATACATGCCTAACTATCATATAGCTTGCAAAGTTACATCTTTTCAAAGTATTCTCCACGGCATCTGATACACTTTCTACATCTATCAATTCATTCCTGGTATGCGTCCCTACACCCATGAGCCCACAGCTCATTCATTTTAGTTACGACTGCCTGCTTTAGTTGATCTTCATCAGTGAAATGTGTAACAGTCCTGGCCTTAATTGGGGCTGGTTCCCCCTTTCTCCTCCATACTGATGATTGTCGTTTAGACTCTGGTGTATAGAACGATAATAAAGTTTCATCTCCTATGATAATCTGCTCTAGAAAAGAAATGCCGTCTTTCTCATAACGTGCGAGGAATTCTTGACAAATCCTGACTCTTTCTGCTTTCTGCTCTCCTGTAAGAAGTCGGGGTACCCAACGTGCGCTAACACGAGTCATAGATAGCTCTTGGGTTAGAATCTTTTGAACTGAGGAATATTTGAGTCCAGACATAATACAAAGTTCAGTAATAGTGTGTCTACCATCCATAGATATCATATCTTCAATAAGTTTGATGTTTTCTGGAATCACGGTATCAGCTTTGCGACCACATCTGGGAGCATCAAAAACAGTGTGGTTTCCATTATCTTTAAATGTAGAATACCACCTGTAAACAGTTGACCGCTTCACTTTTCCTGTCCATACACCTCATGTAGGCCCCTTAGTGCTGGAATACCTCTGATTGCATTGTATTTTATAACAGATCTTATGTTAACATTGAGTTCTTTGGAATTCATCCCTATTTTGGCCAATTTTGCTCCACCCTAAAGTACTGCAAAATGGCCGTGTCTCTGATGTCACAGCCATGTGTGACATCATGTACTAGAGATGACATCATAATTGGTTGTGTTGTCATAACAACCACCTCAGGGCACTGTGTAAACCAAATTTGAAAAGAAACTGTCATTTTGTAAAAAATTACATAGTAAAAAGTGCCCTTGTTTCTGGTAATTTTTTAGCTGCTCCACCAACCCCTAGCAACCGTTGCCATGGTAACCGCTGTTGCTAGGTATCTATGAAAATAAATTAATGAGTGTGTTCATTCAATACCCTATTCCCAAGGGCATATACCTACCAAGTTTTATTGCAATTGAATGAATATAAGATGCTGCCTCAAAAAAGTCTCACTAATTAATGATACCCCCTCGTACACTTCTCTTATGCAAATTTATAAACGTGTACATGGACGAACGAGTTTTGAAACTCTTGTCGGCGCCCCCCCCCCTTTAGCTATACCGTGGTGGTAAATATGAGAGAAAGTCGACCTTAAATTCTTTCATGTTTTATAGTTCATGACCTTTTATAGATATAACATGCACGAATATGACTTGATGCAGAAGCAGGAAGTGTTAAGATTCAGAATTTCTATCACTAATTCACATTGTGCGTCATACATATGTGGGCCCACTAAACTTTAACACTGGGTACCGCAGTATTCTCATAAACCACTTTTTCCAGGGCACTTTTTAGGCCTAAAACGTTTATAGAAAGGTAATGTTAAATATTCAGTAGTAATTTAATATTGATTTCCATATATTCAACCAATATATATATATATATATACTGGCATCATTGGTGAATGTAACATTGACCTTGATTGACCTTTCATCATCATATTGTGATGTTATATACTTATAAAAATTACAATATGCTTCCATTGCCAGAAAATTATGGTGATGCTTTCTGCTTGTAAATATTCAAATATTGTATTATTGTTTACCACCAAATGACATTCTGATACTCAAAGCATCTTTCTGTTTCACCATCTCAGGGCTGAGAAGAAATGAGATGTCATGGTTTATCATGATGACCAAATGATGCCTAGGTCACATTTGCTGCGATTCATCGGCCGGCGCCCGGCTGATTGAGTATTTTGTTCAAAATTGAATATATTTCTGAACAAAATACTCAATCGGCCGGGCGCCGTAGTGAAAATCGGAGCAAATGTGACCAAGGCATTAAGGTGAGCAATGCCTCCCGTATGGATACGGTCGTAATTTACGTAATTAACATTGAAGATAGACCCAGAAACCCCTCCTTGAAGGAGCCCTGTGTTCTTTAATGTGTTCTTCTACATAGACATACAAGTACACACCACAGCCTTTTGTATGAGTTGTGGACCACTCAGTCAAACACCCTGAAGTACTTCACGCAAACAAGCAAATTAAGTCTTGCCTGAACCGGGGATAGAATCCGGGACCCAGAAGAAGTGAGTAGCTCCAATAATACTATCATATTCTATCTTATTCGGGGATTCCCCTTAGCCATCCCATATGGTCATACAAGCCTTATGTGGATCTATCACGTGACATTCAAAATGGCGGACAACGGTCAGTTGGATTCCTATATGGTCATGTAAGCCTTTTATGGATCTAGCACATGGGTACCACGTGATCGAATATGAAGGCTGAACTTTGGGAGATCTCCCCCCCTGTCGGGACCCATTGCGCATTGCGGGTGGAATAATGATTGACTTAATTTGGACTGTCAGATGTGGATTTACATTTTACGATCTAACGGGATCTCTTGACAGTTACCTAATATGGTGTTTGGGCAACGAATGTGACATTTTCCCTTGATAACCGAATGCAATTTTTTGTCTGCCAATGTCACCTCAACCTAATATGATTTCTTAACCGTTAATGTGATATTGACCTTTGGTGACGTAATTTATGATTTCTGGACAGAATATGAGACATAGTCTAATAAAGGAGCTGGTAGCACACTATAGCGCAGCGATATTTGACCTAACATTAACATACCTACATATGTTCCCTAATGATTTTAATTATAACCGTTTAATATACTTCCGGCTTTGAGGCTGAATTATGCCTGCCATTAACAGAGGTCAAAAAATTACCGAAAAATAAAATCCCAATTTTTCACAATTTGGAGTACACAATGCAACAGAAAATGATTTTAGATATATGATTTAGGTTTCTAAGCTATGAGTTTGAGGTTATTTTTCTTATCAATACCATTATGTAATCAGTGTATCAACGTTTTGTATTGTTTCTCAGGTATGAATAAGATAAATGCTACAAATGAATCACTTTTATATTAGAATGACAAATGCTTAAATTATGCTAGTTTTTCACAAAATGGGTCTCAATACGTTTTGAGATATGGACTTGAATTCAGCGGTGAGTATTATCAATAAAAGAGTATTATCAATAAATTGCTCTTCCTTGACTAATTGGTACTATAGCTAAAATTCTATTTCTCGTAAGCTCAGTTGCTTATAAAACAACCATCAAGACTTGCTCGAATTCATTGAGAAAAGTCGTTATCATTATCTTCCTAAAATTTGATTGTATCCAGCGGTAAGGTCAAAAAAAGAAACAGCCATCAGAAAACTTGATGATAGCCACAAGTAACATCGAGGAAGAATTGAAAGGCGTTCGATTGCATATTACTCTAATTGATTATCAGACATGCCCTTGGAATATATGAACATTCCAATACCTCTGTAACATTTAATTAGATATCTACAGTAAAATTATAGTATATTTTTACATTATGATAATCTATTTTGTGTTCGTATGTTTAGAATAACGGTCTGTGTATTATAAAATGTATAAAAGTTTGAATCAAAATATTTACGTTTTTTGACCCCTTGTGTTGAAAGACATTTTTTGACCCGAAAGCCGGAAGTTTTTTCAGCAAATGGTATTTAAAAAAAATCAAGACATATACACCTTCGTAAATATTGCTTCAAATGTTGCTGCGCTATGGTGTGCTACGGATCCTTCATATTCGGAAGTCATACCATGGACTATTACTTTAAAGTTTGAAATCTGACATTCCCATGTTAAACCAATGGGAACTGATAGCTTTGTCGCAAGTCATATTACAGAATATCCAACTATCTGAGTTCTTTCAAAAAATACAAGTTAGGTAAAGAATCGAATTTGCAAACTTTGTTTAACAAAAAATGATTTTTTTCTCCACGTTCAACAAAGTTATAGATCTCCAAAGTTAAAATTATTTTCAAGAAACCTCTCCCATTCATTCTGGTATGCCAGAGCCCCTCTTATCTGCCGTTTGCACTTTGGAAGGATAAAGACAAAGGGGGCGCGGCTATCGCGATGTCTCCCATTGAAATAACACAGGAGACGAATAACGTTTTTCAAAAATAGCTCTGTAACTATAATGTTCACAAAGGAAACTTAACACTTAACGTGCAAAAAAGTTAGACATTTCAATTTTCTATATACAAATATTTTTTGTCGAAGCGTTTACTGAATAGATATCCAGAAATCTTATTTGCCCCAAACGCATCGTTGGTTTACATGAGAATGACAATTTCCAAAAAACGCATCAAATTTGTCATCAATTTTCGGCCTAAAAATTGGGAAAATTTTAGAGGCGTTGCACATGAAGTCAAGTTACATTTCCACCTTTTATATATCATTAGCATTTTCATCGCCGGTTATGTAAACACAATTCAAGCATAAAGAGGCTTTAACACGTAGTCCAATGAGGGAGATTGCCAAACTTATGAATGGGAGTGTAATA